AGTTAGTTTTTTTTAATTTACTTGAACTAGTCAAGTAATTCTTATATTAATAACTGAAAGTAGTATAAATTAGATCTTATGTTTCCAAAATTCAAATTATCCATATTTTTGCATCTTTAATTACTTTCGGCTTACCAGCAAAGAGAATCTGAAGCCAATTTGCAAATTTTTAATTCGCCCGGCAATGGAGCTAAGAAGGGGTGTTGTATTTACACGCGAAGGGGCCTAATTGGGTCACTTGTCAGATTTTGAGTCTCTTTTGTGCTTGTTTACAAATTATAAGATCACATTTGACCAATAAATTGGATGAATTTAATGGGGAAATATAGATGGTCTTATAGAGGTGGCGAATTATTGATTATGCAAATCCGGCTTGCAAGATTATATATTATACGCAAACGGGGAGTGTCCTCGTCCTTCCCACCCTCAGCCTAGCCTGCATAATTATGACTCATCACCATAAACATTTTTTTTCAGAAGCCAGTTAAAAAGTTAAATTTGATTTTAAATATAAGATCTAAATTTATTTTATCTCTTATAATCATTATTTTTATGCTGATTTATTAACTTATAAATTGATATATAATCTAATATTATGTAATATATTTTGAAAAGTCATGTTATGTTTATTATAATTAATTAATTGATTGATTTGATTTTCTTAATCTATCTAAATTAATTAAGTGACTCTTACATTGAGGAAGCATATTTTTTTATTTAAGGGAAAACAGATGGCATAGATTATAATCATAACCACTGACCAATTGCAACATCAGTCTTGGGTGTTAAGCTTAAGCCTATCAAAATTTTGAGTGGAGCTAGCGTTATATAGGAGAATTAGAACTCTTGACCATTATCTTTTTTCCTTTTTTGACCAGCAAACTCTTGACCATTACATAATCCGGACCTTACTCTTCATCGTTGTTGCTTGAGTGGCCTTGGGTGACATATTTGCTTTTTCTTAATTTATAAAAAAGTTAATACAAATTTGGGTCTTTTAAATTTGCCCTCATTTTGATTTTGGTCTTTCAAGTTTTAAACTATAAATTTTGGTCTTTTAAGGGATAAAATAATCCAAGTTTTTATTAGATTATAGCTATCATTACCAAAATAAGGGCAAATTTATAGGATCAAAGATTATATTAACCTTTTATAAAATTATAAAATAAGGAAGCTTCATTATTTAAGGGAAAATGACAAATAAAGAAGTTGGAAAATGCAATATTCCAAATTAGGCACTTAAGAGTTGAAAATGACAAAGAAGGAAGTAATGTCTAATATGGTATTTTGTAAATATAGTTAAATGAATAAAATGTCTTTATATCATATTTTTTAAAAAAATGATCAAACTTGTTATTAGCAGTATATATCTTGTCATTTATTATTTAACACTTGTTATTATCAGTTCAAAACTTGTCACTCTTCCAGTTCTAAATATAAGACTCATTTTGTAGTGTATATTTAGGATAGGAGGGAGTAATAAACTTTTTAATATAAGGTCATTTTAGTTATTTAACTATATTGTCCAAATATCAAATTAGGCACTACCTCCTTCTCTGTCATTCTCAACTTTGAGATGTTTGAATTGGGAAATAATAATTTCAAGATTCTTTTGACGGAATTTTTCCTTATTTAAGTGTCACACATGAGTAGTAGCCACAGTCGAATTAAAAAAAAAAAAAAACTTTATGGATTAGAATTGAGTGTTTAAGTAAAAATTAAATCATGATTTTAAAAATAATTTTACGGAATTTTTTTATTTTGATTTATGTGAAAGTATTTTTTAAAAATACTTTTTCATCATACAAAACGCCTCCTGAACGGCCTGCGTCTCATAAGAGTGTCGCTTCAACCTAAATGGCCCAAACCCAATTTTTGAATTTTGCAGAATACTTCCTAGGCAGCTCCTATGCGGGGGTGAAAATTAAGTGGATTTCTACAGTATAATAGACGTTCGGCCCAATTAAGAAAACCGGGATCCATGGTTTGTTATTGGACTTGGGTGTTTAGGAGTTGTTGTTTAATATTATGCCCGTTTGCCTTTTTTTTTTTTAAAAAAAAAATTTTATACAATTTTCTTGTGCAAAAAATTATACGATTAAACATAGGGAAATTGACGAAAAACTGATTCATAAATGTCAAAATCCACATATGGTCACCTGTATAAGAAAAATTCTAATTTAGATATAGGTGATCAAGCTGAGATTTGCAAAATTACTGAAATAACCATAGTGCTCTTTATTATTTTTTTTAAAAAGAAAAATCAAACATCCTCACCAGTGGGTTGTTAGCGAGACATCTAGTGTTGACAGTGGTCGTCAAAGTTTAGGTGGGCTGTTGGTCACCGGAGCTTCAGTTGTCAGAACTATTTTTTTAGGAATTATTTTAAGTCTACTAATATGATTAACGAGTTCTTTAACATTATTAACAAGTTCAGCATAGCAGTTAATAACAAGCTTTTCCATAAATTTAAAAAGTAACATTTTTATAACTTTAGCAATACAGTTAACAAGTCTTGTAATGATAGTAACAACTCTCATAGTGTCATTAACAAAATTTTCCTATGAAGGTCAATATTTTTAATATTCATTCTCAATAAAGCCCGTATAACAAAAATTTTATATTTATTAGGCTGTCACTATAATTAAGAGAGTTGTTAATATCATTATATGACTTGTTATTAGAGTTGTTTATGACATTATGATAATTGTTAATATTGTTACATAACTAACCATCAGAGCTTCAGTGACCTAAACTCCAATAGCCGCCACAAGCATCAGAGCTCCGGCGACCAAAGGGTGTTTGATATTTTTTTTCCTTTTAAAAAAATAGAAAGTAATATGGTCATTTTAGTAAATTTACAAATTCTAATTTAGTCACTTATAAGTTATACCTAAACTAAAACTTTACTTATCTAGGTTACTATTTAAATTTTATTATTTAACTATAATTTTTTTCTGTCTTTCTTCCTTAAACATATAGATGCAGCATGCAGACAGACATAGATGGGACCTCATCCAATAGAGTGACTGGCACTATTACTGGGGGCAATTTTCTGTTGGACCCGTCCTGTATTTAAACTTTACTCTCATCTCTATTTCCAGCTCCCCTTTCACTTCTACGCTACTCTTCAAAAGCACTTTGATGGGACTGAACAGAGTCTTACTCTTGCTCTCCTTTCGCCAGAATTAGGTCTCCGATAGGCGATGCCCGGAGTCTAAGTCTAACCGAGCTCTTGCTAATGCTCTTTTCTGGGTGTCAGAAACAAGTGGGCCCAGAAAGGTAGGACAGAGGATTAACATTCAGAGTCAAAAGTACTGATAAAGCTGAAAAATGATTTCAACTCGTACTATATAAAATATAAAAAGCCTTTCATTTGTTTGAGCAGTCAATTCAAAAGGCATGTAATTTCCCATGCATGCATAGCAGTTGACAACATTAAAAGTTTCTTCACCTCTCCTCCATCTCCAACTTAATTTTGCACCTTTTTTTCTTATCAAAATTAATAAGCTCTTGAGTTTCCCAGCCGACGAATCTCTTCAATCCAAACATTCTTCGAATACTTCCTACTTTGGGTTTCATAAGTTGATTTAATTAAGATCCAAATAATATATAGCACTCCTTCAGTCCTATTTATAATCCTAATCCACTTTCAGCCTGTTTCAAGCCAATCAACAAAAATATTAAACTTTACTAATTCTTATTTAAAATTTAACTACTTTTCAATTTTATGTTTATTTAGGGTGTGTTTGGATGAAACCAAACCGTGGTTTGGAAAAGTGATTCTGAAAAATAGATTCTGGAGAAAATAGATTCTGTGAAGAATAGATTTTGTAAAAAAGTGATTTTGAGAAGTGAGAGCGTTTGGATAGTTGTTATCAGAAGCACTTTTTATATATACAAATTACTAAAAAAAAGACATAAGTTAATATGATAATTACAGAAAAAATAGATTTTATGATATATTTTAATTTGAAGGAATAAAATTGTCAATAATATGTTTTTTACCAACATAATTAATAATACATAAGATAATATAATTAATAAATAATTAATGTGTATATATATTTATAAAATATAAGATTAAATATGTTTATAAAAAAATAACAAGATACATATCATATAGGCCCTCACACTCTCCCTTTTTTCTCCAAAAGCAAAATTTTTTTGCTTTTTCCAAAACCATGGTTTTGACCCAAAACCATGGTTTTGGTTTTTGGAGGGGTTGTTTGGGTGATTTATTCCCCAAACCATGGTTTGGGGTGTCATCCAAACACACCCTTAATATATATTATACCTTATGCAAACAAAATCAACATATTAATAAATAAGGAGTAAAATTGCACATTCATAAAAATTTTTTTATTAATACCTTATAAATAGGATTAAAAAGTATTTTCTTTTTATTCAATAAATAATACCAGAGGAGCATCCGTGTGTTTCCTAACAGGTTGTTTCCAACAATTCCATTTTCTGGGGACTGAGGAGGGAGGGGACCGATATTAACTCACCGTTCAAATAAACAAACATTACTGGAAAAGATTAATGCAAACTAAAGTTGACGAGAGAAAGATCGTACAACATAACCTAACTGTTCATATGCATTTAATAAGTGTATAGAGCTGTGGAATAGGAGTACGAATTTATGATTATGACTTAACGTCAACAAGTTTTTGTTTCTTTAAACGCACGCCTCTTCGTCCCTCCTTCCTCTGCCGCATGTTAGTAGGTCCCATCCACTATACATGAGAAAGATACTCTTCCTCAACACCCACCACCACGTGCCCATCACCGACTTCTTCTTCTTCTTCCTCCTCCTCCTCTTCTCTCTCTCTCTCTATATATATATGTATATATGTATAATACTGTCCACTAGTCATCAATCAAGCTTTCTTTATTTTTCCTGAATCATATTACAGTATTCGCAATATCTAATCAAAGTTTGGTGACATAGAAAAGAAAAATGTACAGTTGGAGTTTTTCGAGCACTTTGCCCCAATCCTCCCGAGTATTTAATATTATACTATATATATATGTACATGTACAGCCTAAACCACCATACAATCATCTCATCATTATGGCAATCTAATCCAACTAAAGCACAAATATTTTATGTTAACTATATTACCCCACACATACACTTTAATCTGACGTTTACTCTAAGTAATTTACAGTTCGTCTCAGTTTGCACCCTGGCTACACACTTGCTTCAACGCTAAAGCCGAACCACTTACTAATATATGTACTTGTATTTATACTACTTTTCTATACTAAAAGCCAACTAAAACCAAGAGAGATCATGAGCTATATATATATATATATATATATAGCTGGCTGGTTAGCTCCCCTATATATCCATAGATTAATTTCATTCATCGCTGTCGAGGAGATGGAGAAGAGATTTGGGGCCGTCAGAGATCATGGATTCTGAAGTTGCCCAGAGCCTAGCAGCTTCGGTTGAACTGGATCCTAGTTTTGACATGGAAGCTTCGTTGCAGTCAGCAAAGTACTTGCCGGACACATTTAACAGCCTCGGATGCGTCGCCAAGTAACATGTCGTTGCTGCAGCCTACATTTGATTTGACACGACCCTCAGTCTCATATCATATGATATGATAAACAATATTAATGCCTGTACTGCGTTTTGTCATTTTCTACGGCTTATATATATATATATATATATATATATATATTTATATATATCTAACTTGGACGGACTATAGGATTACAGATTTGAAGTGTTACCTGGGGAATGGTTTTCAAGAATTTCGAAGTCAGCAAGAACGCTATATCTGCAGTATACAAAAAACTTCCAATGAACCATGGACACAGATTTTGAAATAATAGCAAATAAAAGGATCGGATGTAATCAATAAGTAGTGTAATAAACCTGTAAGTAAGCCTTCACGTTCCCTGGTGAGCCTGGTCCTGACAATCCCCGGATGCACGCAATTCACTGTCACGTTGACTCCCATTTGCTGCACAAGATGAGAGATGTCATAAGATCAGATGTAATGATCAAATAATTAGTAAGTAACCAGACGGAGGAAGATGAGCAGGAAAAAATAACAAGAAGAGACCCTTTTTTTAATATAATAATATCAATCAATAATTGAGGGTTGATTTATTAATAGATAGATTGATGATGGACGGACCTGGAGTTTGAGAGCAAGATGCTTGGTGTGTAAGATGTTGGCGAGCTTAGACAGAGCATAAGCACGTGTGGCGTCGTAATGGCTGGCGGAAGACAAAGGCCAAATGAAACAAAGAGAAGTCAAACCCGATTTGTTTTTGTTTTTGTTTTTTTGTTTTGCCAATTATTAGTCTTCCACAAACTAACTACTGACTAGTCTTGTTCTGCGAGCACTTAATTGTGATTAGTTAATTACCTGCTGTCCAGGGTTATAAGAGCTAGATATCGGATAATGTCGCCGGAAAACCAGCCATGTACGTTGGAAGACACGTTCACGATCCGCCCTTGGATCCCCGTCTTCTCCGCCGTTTCCAACATCGTCTTCAACAACAAGTCCGTCAACAGAAAATGACCTGTGCCCACCGCCACCATGAATGAATAATACAACATACGTTTAATTACATTATTTGACAGATATGTAGTTTTTGATTTAATTACCTAGATAATTAGTGGCGAAGGTCATCTCAAATCCATCTTCGGAGATTGCGTGATGGTGCGCGAACTTTCCGGCGTTGTTTCTAGGGCGAAGAAGAAAATGGAGTATACAGTGAGTAATAAATAAAAAGGAAGAAGGAAGGGAAAAAAGAAGAGATATATAGAGAGAGTGGTATTACATAAGAAGGTTGAGAGGTAAATGGAGGGAATGGAAGTGAGAAACGAAGGAGCGAACAGAGCTGAGAGAACTAAGATCGAGAGGCATCACAATGATGTCTGCGTTCGGAGACTCGGAGAGGATGCGAGCTTTGGTGTCCTCGGCGGCTTTCAGAGTTCGAGCCGGCAGAATTAATCTCACTCCTCGCTTCGCCAGAACCCTCGCCGTTTCAGCTCCGATTCCCGACGTCGCGCCTGCGTTAAAATCAATACTCATCAGTATTTGACGCAAAGAAAGGAGAACGAACGATAGAGAGAGAGGTTTTAGGAAAGTACCAGTAATGATGGCGGTGAGAGTGGAACAATGGGCGGAGGTGCTTTCTGTGACGTGTTCGGCGGTGGAGCTGGAGCCGAACCCGGAAGGTCCCGGCGAGCCGAATAGGTACTTGAGAGTGTCCACCATAGCCGATTCCGAGTGGGAGAAGCAAGAGAGAGATGAATTGAAGTAGTGTATAAGGATGGATGCACCTAACCGTGTGCATTAAATAAGTGTTAAAAAAGTTGGAGAGTCGAGCGATTTGACCTTGTCCAGCTCTCTAATTATAGGATAACACTTGATTCATTTTATTCAGATCCGATTCCGATGCGCTGTTTCTTTTTCAGTTATTAATTTAATTAATTAATAATTAATCTCTCATGAAAGCCGCTTTCATGGCTTTTTTCCCAGCTCTCTCTCGTTTTCCACCTCTCCTGAGTTGCTAATTAGCCCCATTATTATACTTTCTCCTCCTCCAAGCTCTACTCAATTATACGCATTTGTGTCACCCTCTCCTTCAAATAATACAAAAAGCTCTCCAACTTCTTCTTTGTGCTTCATCCCTAACCCACTTTCAGGTTCCAATTATCTTCTCTCTCTCTCTCTCTCCCCCTCCTTCTTCTCTATTTTATTGTAATTCTTCATTACACTTTTGATTTTATATCGTTCGAAGTCCCACGATTGATCAGAAAGAATCCCTGTAAAAACCGGTGGGCTGTTTACCTGAATCTCACGTGCGTTGGGTTGAGTTTCTTTTTCAGTTTTTCTTCTTACTGTTTAATCTGTTTTGACCAGCTCTTAATCACTTAATTACACATTTATTATCGGTCAATGCTCGATTCTCGTGTTCATCGGAATCCACTTCACTTCGTTCTTTCCCCTCGTTCTCTCTCTTCACATTTATGACTTTCTTTTTCTCATTCATTTCTTAATCCACCTCTACCTTCCCTCACTTAATTGAACTCCTTTTATAACTAAATATAAGATGTAGTCAAAATATTTGTTTTGATCAATCTTCTTTATCTCTTTCATTTCCTATTTTTTCTCCAAATTGTTCTCATTCATTTCACTTTTTTGTTCCTCTCACATGTAATGTTATCTCATTTTAGGATATATTTTAAAAAGAGCGATACACATTATTTTCCACAATAATAATATATAACAAATTTAATCATTTTCTTACTGTTTTTGAACTATATAATTAATTAGTACTTCTTTCTAGGTCATAATTATAAGATAGAGAGAAAGTGTATAACTCACATCATTAAAATTATTGTATAATATACAAATTTATCCCAATTTATTGTTTGGTAAGCTGTGATTTTTTTTAAAGAAAGTATATATATTAAATAAGAGTGAAATTGAAAAATATTAAATTTTAAGATAGAATTCATAACTTTTAGGGAAAATTGGTAAAAAAAATCCCTAGTTGAAAATTTAATTGGCTAAAAGGACTTGAATTTGAGCAAGTGCAACTATGATCTGTGAGTGCAACATATCTTCCGTTGTGTGCAATATATCATCAATGATGTGCAACAATTATCAATACAGAAGTTATTTGCATACAACGGAAGATATGTTGCATACAGTAGAAGATATGTTGTATTCACGAATCACACTTGCACATACTCAAATTCAGGTCCTTTTGGACAATTAAATTTTCAAACAGGGATTTTTTACCAATTTTTTTCTAACTTTTGAGGGTTTTTTAATTTCAATAAAATATGTTAAATGTTTCTTATAAATAAAATTTGAATAGTAAATATGATATTTAGCAAGGAAGGACTAATTAATGTTTATATTTGGAAACATCATATGACAATTATCTAAATATCCCATTCCCACCCAAAAATTAAGTGTTGAATTTCATCAACAAGATTATCTCATTAAGATCTAATAAGTTTAGAGTGCTCATCAAGGTGATGAGCACTAAAACTGATTTCTTACCATCCGGTGTTAAATACTCCCTCCGTTCCTTATTATAAGAGACACTTGATGCTTATGCCATGTTCCTATATATAAGAGACACTTACAAGTTGTCTCTACTTTTTTGTGTTGATTTACTATTTTACCCATATTTATTATCTCCAACTCACACACTCTCTCTCTCCCACTTCTCTTTCTTTTAATAATTTAATTGTTCTCTCTCATGCTCTCTCTCCTTATTAATGAGGGTATTTTTGAAAAAAAATTATACTTTTTATACATTAATTGTTCTTAACTAACTTTAACTGTTTTTTGATCAACGTACTTCGGTTATTTGTCTCTTATAATAAGGAACGGAGGGAGTATAAGATTTAGAGCAATTTATATTATAAATTAAATATTATATTTAGTAGTGTTAGGAGGTAGTATAACAACAACCAACAACTAATTATTTTATAGTAACTTTTTCCAAATCAAGAATCAGAAACTTTTACCCGTCAAAAAATTAAATTCTTCATGACTTTTACCTAAATGATATGGTACTCCATTTATTACCCTTGAGTATAATTAAGGAGTACAAGATAATGAGGGGTATTTTAAGTTTATATATAATATACGCATATAACCTCTCCCAGTCGCTAAAAGTTGCTTTCTCTTTATTTTTTATTTTTTGTCTCCTGCTTGTAAACACAAACCCATCTGATATATATATATACATATATATATATATATATATATAAAGCCATTTTTATAGCAATCCCAATCATCAATCATATCCTGAGCTTTGCTTTGGGTTGATTAGTTTGCCAACTTTATTTGACCAGTTTGGAATCAAGAGGACGATTAAATTCCATGAATCAATCAAGTTGCTTAAAAAATTGCATATATGGGGAATGGGATATGCCATTTACTTGCCACTCACTCATTCTATATAGGGTGGCTGTATGTGTATCCTATAGTGTAAAGACTCTTCAACATTTGGTTTGTATTAATTATAATTTGTGATTGGGAGTGTGGCGTCATTTGAATGCTACAATTCTCCAATGATTGCCTCTCTTTTTCTTTTGTTTTTGGGTCGAATCTTAGAGGACCCGCATCCTTAGATTTAGAGCTTAAAGCTTTTCCAGTTTCTTAAATGACTCATTAAATATCATTCAGTGATACTAATCATCCTTCCACCTCTTCTTCCCTTGTGATTTGTTTATCATATTCTTCCTCGTTTCATGATTCATCTGACAATTGTTGATTGGTAAGACGGGGTTGGACGCATCTATCTCCACCAGAAAATGGACAAAAGAAAAGAGAAAGAAAAAGCAAGGGTATGAGTAATTGAAATTAAAAAACATATATAAAGGAGAGGAGCCTAACAATCGCATTAAATAATTAAAAGAATCCAAATTTGTTTCCAAAGATTTCAATTTCATCCATGTCATATGCGGTAGTGTTTTGCAGAGCAAAAAAAAGTGAGAGAGCCTAGATACTGCCCCAACGGGGATCACGCCATTTTTCTACTGTACTGCACAAGATCATGATAGAGACCCACCATTACCACTCTAGCTTTAGAACCTAAGCTTAAGTATGTGTGTGCCTATATATATATATATTCACTTAAATAGTGCCTTCCTAGTTCCTTCGATGATCTTTTCACTGAAGCACCAGAAACAGAAATACTTTCCGCCTTATTATAGATTTGTTTTCTTTAATATGAAACAACTTTCTGAATTCTGAACATTCATTTAATTTTTTTTGGGAAGTGGTGTTAAAGACAGCACTTGGTCTGGCTGTAGTGTGTTAAGCCAGAGACTTAAAAATGGAAGGGGACGATATAGTGTTGTGAAAACTACGTAGCACTCGGTGTTTAGTGATTCTGTGAAAGTTACAAGTATGATCACTAAGGGACCAAAACAGTGCCCATCCTTACCAAAACACAAGAGACGTAGCTTGGTCTATTTTGCATCTTTAATCATCCACAACCTTATTATAAGGAGCTAAGGAATTAGGACAGAGCTTCAATTATATTGCATAGTAGCTAGCATGAGCGTAATCAAAACAAGACAAGCAGAATAGAATGTTTGGTCAGTTTCAATTGCCAATGTTGTCAATTTCTGAGGAAATCAATGAACAGTCAATATCGCGATCTTGAGGCCATCCAAACTCCTCCAAGAAAGCAAGCACCACTCCATTTGACCACCCAAAACCAGTCTGCATTGCATCCAAATCCCAATCAAACATTTGAAATAGTTCTCTTGAACCCAAAGCAAAATTTAAGATTTTGAGTTTTCTGTATATATATGGATACACATACCTGGGGCACATATAGTCCACCACCTCCAAACTCTCCACAATGCTCCACATTATATTTTTCATGCATCACACCTGTTTTCTTGTAGGCCATATAGTTGGTTGTGATCCATCTCCTTGCAATTTCTTCCCCCAGGGAAGCTGCTTCTTTCAACCCAGATTTCACCAGACCTTCAACTATCATATGTTGAATTTGGGGCCAGCCATTTGGGAAGTCCCTGTATTAACAAAGTCTCAACAGTCATAACCTTAACATGCGAGAACCTTAATCTTTGATGCTGTCCTAAGTTCTAACTAACTTACCATTGTTGTCCTGAATTTGTCAAAGATGTCGCAACCCCAGCAGCACGAACCAGCCCACAGGTTTTGAGACTTTCAACAACGCTACCCACGATCGAAGAATCTTAAGAAATATATTTTTAAACAAAGGGTAAGCCAATGTTCTTGCAATTCTATGACCTTATTTTGTGATTCCCTTCCCAGAAAGTTATTATCCTTTGCCTTCATCTTCTCACATTTTTCAAACATCTCATTTTAGTAAAACACCAGAACGAATATATAGACAACATGAGTTACCCCATCTCGCCATAAGTTCAATTAAAGCAATCATCATCTTTGGTTGAATCTATTCTCCTTTATTGTCCTGTCCCTTCATATCTTTTCACTTTTGTATCCAACGTCTCATTTAACGCAACGGCAGAAAAAGCAAAGGTTGAAAACATCTTCAACATCAAGACCTCTTGTTTTTATGATATGCTAATCTAAAAGACTGAAACTGTTCTTCACTCATTTGCGAGACTCAAATGTCCATTCTGTGTTTGTTAAAATTTGGCATGCAAGGTCAGTAACCAAAATGACATTCTATAAAAAATGACATGATGGGGATAACAATGTCGAGTCAAGTCTTAAAGCCGTTCTTAATTTATCTCAACCATACAATGGAGAATATGTAGTACAAAATTCAGTCACATGAAATCAAATTTACCTGAGTAAAATGGTTCCATCCATAAAGGAGCAAAGTTGGAAGCAAATACATTGTGATTCTGCTGCTGATCTTCCCAGACTTGAACTCCCTAGAAGTACAAAAAGTACAACTCAGAAGAATTACAGAGGGTAGAGAAATCACACAATGACAGATGTGTCCATGCAAAATCAGATTGACGAAATACCTGGCATGTACTATTTGTGAGCCAGTAATCAAGCCATTGTTTCATGTTTGCGTTCCAGAAAACAGAGTTGAGTGCCTTCTTTCTACTATCAGAAAGTTGCAGGAAGTGCTGAGCAGTGCTATTATCTCCAGTAACTTTTGCAAAAAATGCAATATTAAGTTCCATCTGAACAAACATGCATCACAGCATAAATCAGGCGGTTAAAAACCATAGATGCAGGATTTTGTTTTACTCATTGGTCTAAGACATACCCCAAGAATAAATGCATTTAGGTCAACAGGTATTACAGAAGTTGCAGCCACTGATGTAAATTCTAACGGATCTCTGCACCAAAAACAGCATCACAATCACATGATTGTTCGCAATTTGCATCATTTAGTAAGCTATGAGTAGAACTGACCACTTTGAAGGTTACATGTGAGCCTCATAAACACTGTGAAATACAATAGAGCAATTACCTCAACCATCTTGTGCTGAAATCCCATCCTGATTCACAAGTTGAAGCCACTTCATGGTAAAAGTGTTGTTTTTCTGAAGCATCCGAGAACTTGGAAGCAAATCTCTTGTCCTGCACCATGCAATAGCCATAAGTTGCAATTCTAATTCCATGCCATTTATAAGCCAGTCCCAAAACAGTAAGGCATACCTTTACTGAACCCTCTGGCCTGGGTTTATTCCACATTGCATAGTAACGATTTAAGGTGTGAGTACAACCTTGAGGGTCCACAATGGTCACCGTATGTATTTCTACAAGATAAATAAAAGGTAAAACCAAAAAGTTTGAGGCAAGCCAAATAAAGAAAAATTTTATATCATAAAACATGGTTCAATCACCCATAATGAACCATGAAGTCCAGCATTTGAGGCATAAGTTGTGCTCATTATAATACCTGAATTCCAAAACTCATACTCTTTCCTCAGTGCAGGAAGCGATCTTTTGACCAGCTCTATATCACCAGTGGCATTGTAGATCTCATAAATCATAGCACTTAAAAGGGGAGGCTGGCTGCAAAAATCCAAAACAAAATTGTAGATGTAGTTGCTATCACCATATGAATGCATTTCAAAATATACATACGAACATGACGTTAGCGTAAAATGAACACAGTAAAAGTCATGCCGCAATATATTCTTTTCAAACCTTCCCACCATATTATTTTAAGATAATGAAACTGTATAATAAAACAACAAAGAAAGTATTCGTCATTTTCTTTACGTTGCTAAACTATTAGCATACAATTCAAGGAGAGGTTGAATAATTCCAGTATGAATCAGTCTGAAAACACTGGTTCAGCATATGAGACACAAACAGTCCTCTGGCATTACACTCTTAAGGTTCCATGAAGCACAAACAGCAGAAAAACAAGAAGAGCGGATGGGAAAATGATACCTCCTGTGGGTGTAGTAGGCTCTTGCACCATTAGGCACAAACCCGTATTCTTCTATCAAAGAAATAAGATTAGTCATCATTCCAGTGGCTGTCTTGTACATTTTACTCACCAGTAAGCCCCTGCACCTCAAAGTATAAAGAATAATGATCCTTTTTGACAATTTCGTACCCAAATGGCAATGTCCAAGAGATATACTGAAAAGATCTAGCTAAACCAAATCTAAAGTTGCTTTGGTATGATATGGAGATTTCTTCAAGATTTAGTGGAACGTAGACTTGAAAAGCTAAAAAGTATCTTGTTTGGTTTCAGTTTTCTGCTAATGTAACATCAAAGCTAATAAACAAAACCTGATTATCCAGTAGGAATCCCAGTAATAAACCTCACGAAAGCGTGAACCAGGGATGATGAAAGAAGCAGGCAGAGGAAGAAGAGTATGCAAATGGGGATGACTTTTGACCCTACTTGAAACTCTGCGACTCAAGTTCTTCCAAAGGGAATGGACTTTCAATGCCCATGCCCTCACCTCTGGATGCTCAACTTTGGGCAAGAATCCCTCTGGCTCTTCCACGTAATCCTCTGGTTCGTAGTACTCCATATCGTCATCTGCTCCATCCAAGTATTTTTCTATAAAATCATTCAACTCTTTTGCTGGTACAAAGCCATTTGCAGACCTAGCAAGCTTATCAAATGCCTCCTCTGTCTCAGACAAGCTGAACTTCAACGACATGTCAACGTAGTTTTTTGGGTCGACGTTAGATCTGCCAAAGGTGTTAACTGCTGTTTCTTGGAGGCGTTCGAGAAAGGAGACGAGAGGGATTGAGGGTTTCACAAGCCCTGGGTCCAAAGGGGAAGCTGATGAAGATTCTGTGACAGCCATAGAAAATGTTAGCGAGCACAGTAGATGAAGTTGAAAACATGATTTGTGAGGGAAGGGAAAAAATGGAATAGAGAATCCGCCATTACTGGCAACCTGCGATACCTGAAGCAGACATGATATAGGAATGCAGAGTCAGAGCAGAATCACAGTTTCACGAAGCCTTGTTGGAAAATTACCAACCTTCTTCACGGCGCTGTGTACCTCTGCTCTCCACTCTCTTTAAACTCGGCTCGTCCAACATAGGACGTCAAGAGTAATAAATTTATGTTTGGGTCAATTTTCTGACTGATATTGTATAATTTTTTTCTTGGAAGAATCGAAGTTTCACAGGAGCTAGCTACCAACTCGAACTCATGTCCATGTGCGTTTCAGCCAAAGCTTACAAGGAGACACGGTGAACCAGCGATATTGTATAGTTTTTTAACTTGAAGGTTTTAAGGAAATCAATAAACTGTTCTGTTCAGATTCACGAGCGGCTTTCAAGTACAAAAACTTTTTGCCCCCTGCACAAGTGCATGGGTTCTGACTTTGACAACCATTGGAAGTTGATAGCCAACAAAATCGACATCTAACTAACTTTGAATAATGCTGAGGCATTTACCCCTTAAATTTTAGGAAAAAATAATCATTTGGTCTTTCTATTTGTGGTTCGGTTATTATATCTCAACCCTTCGATCTTTGAATGTTAGACGCATCTCAATCCCATGAATTTTGATTCCATTGAATCTCACTCTAATCTTTATAATTTTTACTATTTAAAGTGTTCGTCTTTGCATTTTAGAAAATAAAATTATAAGAACCAAATTTTTTTTAAAAAAAGGTAGGGATTTATGTTTTAAATGGTTAAAGTATATGTATTGAGTTGTATCAAATTAAAATTTAAAAATTGAATTACAATCAAGTTAAAATTATAGGGATATAAAGTTTTACCAAGTTAAAATTTAAAAAATGAGTTATAATTAAGGCAGAGTTATAAGAACCAAATAATTATTTTTTTAAAAAATTTAATTCACAGCAATTTAGTTAGTCTCAATTCATTGGGTTAAAGAATGATAGAAATGAAGATGTTTCAAGTTTTTTTTAAAAAATTATGGAATTGACTTGTTATGAGTGAAAAAAGTTTATAGAGATTGAATTGCTGTTAAATTTATAAAACTGAACTGATTATGATTTGATGATTGAAGAAATGTTCGATGAAGCAGATGAAAATTCTATGATATTCACAGAAATTGTGATCAGAGGAATAGAGAGTCGGCCATTGTTGGCGCCTGCAGAGACAACACTTGTCTGCAAACTAGCATCTTACCGTGCATTCTGACATCTCTCCGTCTTCGTGAGAGCGACCCATCGCTCCGACAAAGTGAGCGCCCCTCTTCGCTCCATCAAGTGAGTGCCTTTACAATCACTGTCACAGGCCATCTTCACCGTGCTTCCTGCTCTCTCCTCTACACCTTCTCTCACCCGTGTTTCGCCTTAACCCCAGCTTCTTAGCAACTCAATGAAAAGCCCCTACGTTAGGGCTTTTCACTGTAGCTATCATCTTCGTCTCTAAATTCTCCCGATCCCTTCTCCCTTCTTTTTCCACCTTAAGTGCTCTGTTCCACCTTTGTTTCAGTGTCGTTGCAAGACCTCAAGCTAAGGCTTCTTTCGAGTATTGCTGTTTGTTAGTTCGCAGTGGGTTGCTGAACAACTCATTTCTCTTCCGCACAATGGAGGTAGTAATGGAGGATAGGAATGAATGTGAACTCGATTGGGAGGATGAAGACTGCAAGAAGGGGGGATTCTCACTGGTAGGGAAGCTGGTTTCCTCCAAGCAAGTGAACCTTCCAACTTTTCGGAAAATGATTGTGCGTATCTGGAGATTGAAAGGTAAGGTTGAAATTAGTGATTCTAAGGACAATGCCTTTGTGTTTCATTTTAGTATAAAAGAGGATTATGAACGGATCTTACGAGATAGTCCTTGGGCTTTTGATGGGTATCTATTGAATTTTCAACCTTGGGAACCTTTCTTGACGATAAAGGAAGTCTTAATGAATAGGTGTATGTATTGGGTTCAAATCCATAATATCCCGAGGGCAGCAATGACTAAGAAGAATATTGTAAAGATGGGAAGTAGAATAGGCGAGGTTGTCTGTTTTGAAGATCCAAGACCAGATGACTGCCATATCCGTAGCTTTGTTCGTATTAGAATTGAAGTGGATCTGTCAAAGCCTTTAGTAGCTGGTTTCTGGGTACCACGGCCTAACCTGGACTAGGTATGGGCATACACTAGATTTGAAAAACTCCAAAATTTCTGTTATAACTGTGGAAAGGTGGGGCATGAGCATAGGATTTGTGAACACCAAAAAGTCATGTCAGAGGAAGAACCATCTCAACCGATGTATACCGCAGATTTAAAGGTGAATCCGTTAAGGGCAGTGGCACCGATAATCATGATTTGAGAGGGTAAATGTGACTCAGTACAGATGGGGACAGCACGCGAATCCTCATCTTCAAAGAAGAGTGTGAATGTCACTGGTGTACAGGTAAGCTTTGGTGGAGATAGTAGTATAGGAGTGATAGGGGCAAAACAATCGATATGGCAGGAAGGTGTGGGGAGTGTAAATAGCCCTGTTGGTAAATCTACTGAAGGGAAAATTGATGATGATAATGAGCCGATGTTGGATCTAGACATGGATGAGGTAAACATCCCACCAAAACATCTGAAAAAAGGAAAAGCTAAAGGGGAGTCCACTCCAAAGGATTGTAGAAGGGCCTTGTTCAACAATGGGCCCTTAAAAATAAATGAACCAAAGCGAGCAGAACCTAAAAAGGCATTGGAAATTACTGCAGTTGCTAGAAAAGACTTTGTTGACGGAAAAGAAGGCAAAATTGATATGGGGGCACCTATTAAAGAGGCTAAATCCTACAGACCAGAACCCAGTGTGCTGTATATTGTTGAATTGCCTGAGGATAGTGAGGAAGGATATACAAATATGCCACAGCAAGGCCTACTACAGATAACATATGAAGGGACTTTAGTAGAAAAGATGGAAAAGGTTAACCTCAAAAGAGCTCTAGATGAAACATGGGAGTCATCATTATCAAAAAAAGCAAGGGTTGAAGTTGCAAATCAGTTTGAGAAAGCTGCGGAAATATTCCAGAACAAAGAAAATGAAAAACCATTTGTTATAGGAAGGAACTCACCTCCAAAAATAAGAAATAAAAAAGGCAAGAAATCTATTGAAGTGAGTGAGGGTAACTTGGTAGAAGTTCCAGTGCTGGAAGCAATCTCTACAAATATTTTTGAAGGAATGGAAAAACAAGATTCAAGATGTGATTCGACAATAGTAGGGCTTGGTGGTCAGCCTCAAATGGCCACCAAGTCGCCATGAGTATTTTAAGCTGGAACTGTCAGGGATTGGGGTCGTCCCTGACAGGCAAGAACTTGCAGTTCTTGTGTTCTAAGTTTAGACCTTCTCTAGTTTTTCTGATGGAAACTAGAGTCAAGATGGAAAAAATTGAGAAATGGCGCAGGCGACTAAATTTTCAGAACAAGATTTATGTGGAACTAGTAGGAATAGGAGGTGGCTTGGCAGTATGGTGGAATGATGATCTACAACTGAATTTTATCAAATCAGATAAAAACATGATCTACTTGAAGGTTCTCAAAGGTTTGGAGATGGAGTTTGGCTTTCTAACATTAGTTTATGGACCTCCCAAAGAGCAAGACCGAAGAAAGTGGTGGGGAAGACTGAAGAACCTTAATCCTGGGAATGCTGTACCTTGGTTATGCTGTGGAGATTTCAATGACCTGCTGTTTGATTTTGAGAAAGAAGGGGAAAACACTAGAGATTTAAACTCGTTGACTGAATTTCAGAACTTCATGACTCAATGTGACATGGAGGACTTGGGGGCCAAAGGCTTGGCTTTCACATGGTCAAACAAGAGACTCAATGAGGCAAACGTGAAAGAAAGACTAGATCGGGCAGTCTGCAACACTTTTTGGAGAGAGAAGCATCAAAATGCGCAGGTATGTAATCTGGAACCGTTAGGCTCTGATCACTCGCCAATCCTTCTGCATTTGAATTTTTCTGGTATAAAAGGCCCAAAAGAATTTCGTTTTGAATTGAACTGGATTGAGCATAAAGATTACCAGAAGCTTATTGAGTCTAATTGGAATAGGGATAAGCAGGTGACTAGTGGTGTGGTTCATGCTTTTAATTCAAACCTAAATAGAGTTAGGAAAATCCTGACTAAATGGAGCAAGATTGAATTTCCTAATAACCAAAAGCTACTTGCAACTCTTCTGGAAGACTTCAGGAATTGTTATGAAGGGGTTTGGAATGAGGATTCTGCAGGTAAGGCTAGTGAGTTAGCTAACCAAATTGAGGCCATTTGGGGGAGGGAAGAAAAATACTGGTTTCAACGATCTAGAATTAATTGGCTAAATTGGGGGGATGAAAATTCTAGATTTTTTCACAATATTACAGCCCAACACAGAAGAAGAAATAAAGTGGTTTGCTTAAAAAATGATGCTGGAAATTGGGTAGATGACCAATCAGAGATTAACTCCTGCTTTTCCAACTTTTATGAAAACCTGTTTGCTGGTTCGGGACCTCGCAATTTAGATCTAGTCCTTTCCTATGTGAAAGCTGTGGTTTCTGAAGCTGATAACTTAGGATTAATGGCTCCTATTTTGGATGAGGAAATAAAAAGAGCTGCTTTTGATTTGGGGGGCTTAAAAGCACCTGGCCCCGATGGTTTTCCTGGACTCTTCTACCACCACTCTTGGGAAATAATAGGCCCCCAGATCTGTCAATTGGTTAGAGAGTTATTTGAGAATGATGCTGATTTGCAAAACCTAAACTCTACCAATTTGGTGCTAATTCCTAAGATTGACTCTCCTGATTCTGTTGGTCACTTCCGACCTATTAGCTTGTGTAATTTCAGTTATAACGTGTTCTCTAAACTGCTTTCCAACAGAGTTAAACCCATCCTAAAAAAAGTAATCTCTGAGCAACAGCGTGCTTTTGTTCCTGGTAGAATGATTCAAGACAATATTTTTATTGTGCATGAGGCTTTCCATTTCCTTAAAAATAGAAAAGGTAATGTACATGAAGTTGCTGTAAAACTCGACATGAATAAAGCCTACAATAGGGTTGAATGGGATTTCTTAGAAGCTGTCCTTCATAAAATGAATTTTCACCCTATTTGGATCAAACATGTCATGAAATGTGTCTCTACTGTGGAGTTTGACTTGAGAGTCGAGGGAAGAACTATCCACAAGCTTGTCCCTAAGTGTGGTTTAAGACAGGGGGATCCTATCTCCCCATATCTTTTCATCCTTGTCGCTGATGTCCTATCTAGAATGGTTAATGAGCATGTGAATAGAGGAGATTTGCAAGGTATCCACCTAGCTAAGGCTTGCCCGGTGCTCTCTCACTGCCTCTTTGCAGATGACTCTATCTTCTTCTTTAGAGCTACCAAAAAAAATTGCAATGTCTTCACCAGTGTTCTTGATAAGTATTGTAGGGCCTCAGGACAAAGAATAAATTTAGATAAATCCTGTATTTTTGTGTCACCCAATGCTCCTGAAGAGGCGGGGGTCATGATTAGCCAAGCTCCCCTGGTCATTACCTAGGACTCCCTATTCTTTGGGGTAGATCCAAAGTAGAGGCTGGCTTTTGTTAGGGATAAGGTGAGAAAAAAAGTGCTAGGGTGGAATAAAAATTTTTTATCTCAAGCTGGAAGGGAAACCTTGATCAAATCTGTTGCTAATGCCATCCCAACTTACTCCATGTCTTGCTTCCAATTTCCTAAACAAACCTGTATGGAGCTAGACAAAATCATTGTGAATTTTTGGTGGGGAGGGGATGACTCTAGGAGGAAAATTCATTGGAGAGCTTGGAATCATTTAGTTAAAAAGAAGAAAGATGGGGGAATGGGCTTTAAAGACTTTCAGGCCTTTAATTTGGCTCTTTTAGGTAAACAATGTTGGAGGATCATGACAGAACCAAATGAATTTTGGGTTCGAATCCTTAAAGGCATCTACTTCCTCAATTCTTCTTTTTGGAAGGCCGGAAAAGGTTCAAGGGCCTCTTGGGCTTGGAATAGTCTTCTTGAAGGGAGGAATGTCTTAAAAGATAATATCATGTGGCAGATTGGCGACGGTGAGCTTATCAATGTGTGGGATGATCCTTGGGTTCCTTCCTTAACTGATTTTTGTCTACCTAAACTAAATGTGCCTGATGATCAGAAGAACTTAACTGTTTCTAATCTAATTGTGGATGGTAAATGGTGCTTGGATACAATCATTCTCCTTGAACAAATTAAAGACTGCATTTCTGCTGTTGACTTACCTTATTTTCGTGTGAGGGATAATCTGATTTGGTTAAGAAATGCAAGTGGCAAATATTCTGTTAAGCATGGGTACCAATGGTTGCAACAATTAGAGCTGCAAAAATTGGAAATGGGACCCAGCATTTCACAACCTCTTGATAAGGATCTTTGGCTAATGATCTGGTCCTTAAAGGTGCAACCAAAAGTGAAACATTTTCTTTGGAGAGCTTGCTCCAAAGCTCTCCCAACTAAAGCAGCACTTTGGAAGAGGCATTGTGGGGTGACGCCTTTTTGTGCCCATTGTGATTCTCATCCTGAAACTATTGAACATTGTTTGCTTCTTTGTGATTGGGCTAAGCGTGTGTGGTTTGCTTCTCCTCTTTCTTTAACAGTGCATGATCTGAATGTGACTAGTTTTGTGAATTGGTTGTTTCAAATGTTAAAAAACCTAAAGATGGATGATTTAGCTCAATCCCTTCTTGGTTACCTTTGCTGGTATATATGGAAAACTAGATGCAATGAAGTCTTTGCTTTCAAAGCTCCTGACATTGTTTGGCTCATTAATTCTGCAACTAATAGTGTGCATGAATTTTGGACTTCTAGGAATCTGTTTAATTGCAATAATAGAAATATTGATCAAGCTGCTCCCATCAACCATTGGACTCCACCCAATTCTGATTCTTTGAAAATGAATACTGATGGTGCGTTTAATGCAGATAATGGTAGTGGCGGAACTGGTTACATCCTACGCAATTCAAATGGGCAAGTGGTGGATCTCTATTGCAAACCTTGTGCGGTGTCTTCAGCATTCCAAGCAGAAGCACATGCACTTCATGAAGCAGCTTTTAAGGTAAAAGATAGAGACCTGGGACCAGTGATTTTTGAATCTGATTGCCAGCCATTTGTTTATCCTGTGAAAGGCCAGAATTCTTGTCCTGAATGGCAAGCCACAAGGATTGTTGAGGATTTAAGATTGTTTTTTAGTAATGACCTTTCCTTGTCCCTTACTTTTGCTCCTAAATCTTGTAACTTGGCAGCAGATTGGCTGGCCAAAACTGGATGCAAGGGGATGCGCCCTTTAGGTTGGGATTTAAATCCCCCATCCCCTTTTTTGGGTGTGTTACTTTCTGACACTAAACATTGTAAGCAGGGTATAGGTTAACCTTGCTTTGACTTTTGAAGTTGTATATACAAGTATAATATTTCCGTCCAAAAAAAAAACTAGCATCTTACCGTTGTATGGACGTCAGAAGGAATAAATTTATGTTGTCTGTTAAAGTTTAAGTGCACCATTTTTATAACGGGTGAGGTATAAATTTGTTTTAAAAATTTTCATTTAGGAATAATATATTGTTCCAATGTCTTTTGAGTTTTTTTTTAAAGATCTAATATTACTTAGAAAGTGTTAAAATAGAATAATAGTACCCTTTATTATTAAAAACATTAATAATCAATGTTAATATTTTAATGGTTAATGTTAGTTTTTAAACTGGATTAAACATCATTGCTGTATTTTAAAACTTCTAGATACATTGAATCCAAAAAAAAAAGAACTTTCGGGATAATATTATTAGTCTTGACTCTTGAGTAAAAACTTTTAGAACAAATTTACATCTTAACTTTTTTTATAATTCTTTCACTTATATATAAATTAATGTTATTCTATAATACTAAGTATACTTTTTCTTCTTTTTTTTTTTTTTGAAAAAGTCACTATATGATTAAAAAAAACATAATTATTATATTCTCTTTTATCATATTTCGTCACACATTCTCTTTTATCTTTTTTCTCATTTATTATAAAAGCATATTTGAACAAAAAACTATATTTCTAACTGATTTATTATTTCTAACTAATTTTAACTAATACTAGTTCGTTATTTGTGAATTAGTTATTTAAAATTTATAATAAAAACTGGAGGGAGCACGAGGACTTTGATGTATTCCAAGGAATAGGTATGCCACAAACACACACATCATACTACCACTTAATAATTCATCATTACAACCCAATCCAAACATGACGAAACTTTCCAAGGTATGCAAGGATGCGCATCCACCACTAATCATCACTTTCTAACTCTGCACTCAAACCACAATCACAGGCAAAATTCGGTTTGGATTTCTCAACCTAGTTCTCCACAATGACACTTTTATTTACTTATGGCTAAAATCTATAAAATTTTTCTAAACTTTAGGTCAATTATATATAACTTGTCTAACGTTTTGAAATTTACAGCTAACCTTCTTGAAATTTTAATTTTTTTCCGCCAAACCCTCTATCTTTATTTTTGGCATTTTGTTATTAAGTTTGACAAAACTATTACATGAGATTAATGGGAATGACACGACATCTGATATGAATTAAGAAATTTAAGCTATAATATCCAAAATTTCACTAAATTTTAGGTTACTTACATATAATCCCTGACATTTTAAAATTTAACATTAAACCACTTGCAGTTAACTCCCCCCCCCCCCCCTCATTTAATGCTCGACTGAAGCAGCTCAAGCAAGTTCACTACTATCGCATGATCAATTGATCCTATCATCTTCTTCATATGTTACATTATTAATATTTTTTGTTTTCTCTTTGTATGAAAAATAATATTTTTTTTATGTTTAAAACTCAAATGAGAAGAATGATAACATATATCATTTATCAATGTAAACTTTTAAACAAACTGAAAGAGCATGCTTTTATTTTGATTACAATTTGTTTATGCACTAACCTCTGCATTGTGGAAACCTTGTACAATAACCAAACAAAGAAAGAAGAAATTTAGATATAATAACAACTTATAATGGAATAAAAATTGGCAAGTGAAGAAGGCAGGGAGTCACTCAAAACTTCTTATTGCCTCCATTTTCCTTTAAAATAAAAAATAATTATTAACATAACTTATGTTCTAGTGACTCAATGAAGCCTGCTTTAATGCGCGCTTATCTTCAATTGCCATTGCCAGTACTTTTAATCTGAGCAGTCAATATTAAGATCTCGAGGCCATCCAAAATCCTCCAAGAGAGCAAGCACCACTCCGTTGGACCATCCAAAACCAGTCTGCATTGCAATAAATCCCAATCAAACATTTCAAAACTCTCCATCAAATCAAAAGCAAAGTTCGTGGGTGACTAAGTGGGCTAGAACTTAGCTTCAAAACTTAGATATAAACAAGGGATAACCAACCCAATTAAATATCTTATTGGACATCCCACAGTCTCAATCTGAGACCTAAAATCCCATATTACACATACCTGAGGCACATATTCACCCCCACCTCCAAACTTCCCACAATGCTCCACATTATATTTTTCATGCATCAGCCCTGATTTCTTATAGGCAATATAGTTGGTTGTGATCCATCTCCTTGCAATTTCTTCAGCTAACGAGGCTGCTTCTTTCAACCCAGATTTCATCAGACCCTGTACCATCATATGTTGAAGTGGGGGCCAGCCATTTGGGAAATCCCTGCAAACAAAGTCCAACCAGTCAGAACATTAACACGAACCTTAATCTCTAGTGCTGTCCCAAGTTATAGCATACCATTGTTGGCCAGAATTCGTCAAAGAGGTTGCAATTCCGGCAGCACGAAGCAGCCCACTAGTTTTGAGGCTTTCAACAACGCTACTCGCAACTGAAGAGTCTTCAGAAATATGAAACATCGTAAGCAGCAACTTAAGCACAGTGTCTTGTAGTTGTATATTTCCAAAGCCCAGCTAAAATAAACATCTAAAGCCTAACCTACAGTCTCCACTAATTTACTATTTCTCCAAACATATTACTAGCCTGTCTTTCTTTCTCTTGAGCATTTATTGTTAGCATTCGGAACCATTTGATAGTTTGTTTTGACATGTCCCAGCAATTGATGACAACCGTTGGTGAGAATGAACAAAGGGGAGCATAGCTAAGAGTCACAGTCTTGCAAAGTAGAAAATTCAACTGGGTCCTGTCTCAAAGTTTAAAATGATAACAATGGCCTAAACATCCAGTCGACGAATCAAATTTACCTGAGTAAAATGGTTCCATCCACAATGGGACAAAATTGGAAGCAAACACATTGTGATTCTGCTGGCGAGCATCCCAGACTTGAGCTTCCTACAAGGATAAAAAAGGATGAGTCAGCAGAGTTGCAGTAAGCATAATGACAAACGTGTATATGCAGCAGTAGATAGAACATACCTGACATGTAGTACTTGTGAGCCAGTAATCAAGCCACTGTTTCATGTTTGTGTTCCAAAAAACAGAGTTGAAAGCCTTCTTTCTAGAATCAGCTAGTTGCAGGAAGTGCTGAGCAGTACTATTATCTCCGGTAACTTTAGCAAAATATGCAATATTAAGTTCCATCTGAACAACCATGCATCACAACACAAATCAGGCCCAGACCAAAGTTTTCGTTCAATTTAGTCATTGGTCTAAAACATACCCCAAGTATATAAGCATTTAGGTCAACAGGTATTACTGCTGTTGTAGCCAATGTGGTAAAATCTGACGGATCTCTGCACCAAAACAGCATCATGTTCACATGATTGTTTGTGTCATTTATCACCGGTAACAACTATTTGAAGAAGGTATTACCTTTGATGCTTAATATAAGAGAAATAAAACTAATTTGAAAACATTAAGAAAATTAGTTAAGTTGGTTATTTGTAACAAATGTGCGTTGGCCCTCCTAAACTATCATCTTTAATCTTGTATATTGGAACTATCCTTTGGTGGGAACCTCTTACAATTAATAAAGATATTTTGAAGAAAAATTATAGATTTAGGAGATAGAATAGATCGAGATCTTGTATCTAGGATCAAATTCAATCTCCAATTAGTTCTTATATTAAGAACTAGTTGTAGTAACATGTTGCAACTAGCATTATGAGGTGCCATCACTACATACATCTCAGAATCTAGGCTTGTATCAGGCTGACTTTTTGTGACAGATGTATTCTGACAAATATTCTACCTCATCCATCTCGTACTAAAATCCCATCCTGATTCAGCAGCTGAAGCCACTTCACGGTAAAAGTGCTGCTTTTCTGAAACATTCAAAAGCTTGGAAGCAAATGCCTTGTCCTGCACCAAGGGATTTCCAACAGTTACGCACCAATTCCATTTCACTGATAATCCAGTTCAAAATAAAGTAACGCATGTCATGTACGTTTGTTGAAGACTCTGGCCTAGGTTTATTCCACATTGCATAATAACGATTTAAGGTGTGAGCACAACCTTGGACATCCACAATGGTCACCCTATGTATGTCTGCAAGATAATTAAAAAGAAAAAAAACCATGAATTTTGGATAAAAAAAGAAAAATTTATATCACAAACTATAATCCAATCACAGATAATAAACTATCAAGTCCAGGAGCTGAAGCACCAGTTGTGCTATGATACCTGAATTCCAAAATTCATATTCCTTCAATAGCGCAGGAAGCGATCTCTTGACCAATTCTATATCATCGGTGCTATTGTAAATCTCATAAATCATAGAACTTAAAAGGGGAGGTTGGCTGCAAAAATCATAATGAAGCTTGTAGTTGTTATTTCCTCTTGTGGGGAAAGAATTATAAGAAAACGAATACGTTTCGATACATACAATCTGAAAATAACATTAGGTAAAATGAATGCACAGTAAAAATCATTACCCAACTTATCCACCGAATTATTTTAAGATTACAAGACTACATAATGAACCAGTAAAATAATTATCATTATTTACTTTACTTAACTATTAGCGTATAATTGAACGAATGGTAGAATAAACCCATTAAAAATTAGCATGCAAATACATGTTCAGCATCTACAACATCCTAAAATGAACTCCAGGTTTGGATTTTTACCACTCAACAACATATAATGATTTCGAAAGCGAATATGAAAAAAATTTAACTACATAGAAATTTGCAATCCTCTGAAATTACTTTCCAGATCAACAACAAACAAGAACAGCAAGAAGAGTAAATGGGATAACAATACCTTCTGTTGGTGTAGTAGGCTCTTGCACCATTAAGCACAAATCCATATTCCTCTATTAAAGAAATAAGATTAGTGACGATTCCCGTGGCTGTCTTGTACATTTTGCTAGCCAGTAAGCCCCTGCATCTCAGAGCATAAGCAATGATCCTTGAGACAATTTCAACCAAATGTTGATGAGATAAGAAAGTAATGAACAAAATGAATACCTTTTTACTTAAAAGAAACTAGCGAAATTTATATAGTTACGCTTGGTATGAAATGGAGATTTCTCCAAGCTCCTCGGGAAAGTAGACTTGGAAAGATAAATAGTTTTCTTCGGGATCCAATTTTCAGAAAATTTAAGTAACATAGTTCAAAATACAGTGATGGTAATTCATTTTTCCCAGAGTATTTCGTTTAATATTTGATTTGATCTCACTTTTTAGTTTTTACAGATTCCCAAGGTTTTTTTTTTTCCTGGGATTGAATTAGGAGGGCAAATCCTTACAGAATAAAAACTTAGACGATAAAGAAACCTGATTATCCAGTAGGAATCCCAGTAATAAACCTCGTGAAAGCGTGAGCCAGGAATGATGAAAGAAGCAGGCAGAGGAAGAAGAGTATGCAAATGGGGATGGCTTTTGACCCCACTCGACACTCTGCGACTCAGGTTTTTCCAAAGGGAATGGACCTTCAGTGCCCATGCCCTCACCTCTGGATCATCAACTTTTGGCAGGAATCCCTCTGGCTCTTCTACATAATCCTCTGGTTCGTAGTATACCACGTCGTCCCCTGCACCATCAAAGTATCTTTCTATAAAACCATTCAACTCGTCGGCTGGTACGGAGCCATTAGCAGACCTAGCAAGTTTATCAAATGCCTCCTCGGTCTCCGACAAGCTGAACTTCAAGGGCAAATCCACGTATGTTTTCGGATCGAATTTAGATTTTCCCACAGTGGCTAAAGCGGTTTCCTGTACGCGTTCGAGGAAGGAGACAAGTGGGGTTGAGGGCTTCACGAGGTCAGGGTCCAAAGAACAAGCGGGTGAAGATTCTGCGACAGCCACAATGATTGCTAGTGAGCATAGTAGATGAAGTTGAAAATTTTGTCTGCGAAAAAAGAATAGAAGGTCAGCCATTGTTGGGGGCAAACCTGCGATGCGAGGAGCAGGCATGTTTAACGACTTGAAGAGTCAGAGAAGCGTCTCAATTCTGCGAAGCCGCCAATTGGCTTCTTCCTTGAAAACTCCCAACGTCCCTCTCTTCAATGCTGTGTCCGTGTGTCGTGTCCTTACTGTCTGTTTCCTTCCATTTGTCTAATGTTCATTGGCTACTGCTCTTTATTTCCGAATGAAAAAGCTTTTGCCTTGGCGCTTGCAGCAGATGGTTCTTCACGCATGCAAGACCAGTTAAGTGCATTATTGTTTAATGACTCTTTTGAGGAGGCCAGGTTAAATAATGGGAGAATCGCATTCGTGCAAAGGGATTGGTACGCGTTAGTTATGTCTTTAATTAATTGAAATTAAATTCTTCCGTGCAATTACTAAAATAACCTTTTTTTAAAAAAAAAAGGAAAGAAACTCACGAATGTCGTCAAAGATGAGGGTAACTGTGGTCATGGGTTTGAAAATGAACATTTGTTCCCCCAAAATATTTTTTGCTATTAAACAAGCAAGGCTTTTTACTTTTCCTATGTATAGTCATTTTTTTTAACTAAAAACAATCATATTTAACATATTATTGAATACTAAATTTAAACATTTCTTTCAATAAAAATTCAAGCATTTGATTATACAACTAGTTTCTAGAATATTAACAAGTTGTAATTTAAATTTTGATTTGATTTTACAACTTATTCTCTGAATATTGATAAGTTATTATTCAGATTCTAACAAGATCATTTGAGTGATTTTTAAATATTGACGAGTTGAAATTCGGATTTTAGCAATTTGGATTTTGATAAAATTTCTCAAGGGACTTTTAGACAACACTATTCACAACTCATTCATTGAATATTGACAAATTGTTCTTTGAATTTTGACAACTTTACTATGAAAAATTGACAAAAATTCTTTCGCAACCAACAACTTCCATAGAAAGACTTGGAAACTAAATTATAATATGTGTGTGTATTATTTTATAAGATAACCAAGTGGTTTTGTTTATTGAATGGTGAAAAGTGTTTTTGGCAAGCCAATGGATCACAAATTCAAATACCCTTTACCACTTTAGCATTGTCGACCACAGTTGACCCGGCCCGATGGCGGCCTCCTTCAACAGTGGTTTCAGTGGTGACGGTGGCGACTGTGAAGTGTTTTGTACTCTTGTTTTTGTTTTTGTTTTCACAAAAACAAGGCCATTTTGGTGATTACATTGCAAAATTTTATTTTGATCGAGGATCTTGGATTTGCAATGACATTTGAGAATTGTTGGGACCCTTCTTTTTTTTTTTTGGTTACAAGAAACGGGATCGAACCCGTACACACACCCCACACACACCCATACCACTAGGCTAAACGGCCGGTGGTTGTTGGAGCCCCTCATTTTGTTAACTGTATTGAAGGACCTTGAATGAGATACTCTCTTAAATAAGTATTGGTGAAATTTTAGAGATATATTCTAGTTTTGGTGAAGTGCCGAGAGTCAATTTATCTAAATTTTTTATTTACCAAAAAAATATTGGAGAGATTTGATGGCAATAACTTAACTTACACTGCATGTTTTTTTTTTGTATTAGTTTTTCGAAATGTTTATTTTACAAGTAATTGTAACTTGTCACATATCCCATGTGAAATCACATAAGCTAATATTCAGGAGACGTCCGCGTAATGCACAAGCTAGTTACCGAATATACACCTATGCAATGCACAGGGTCAGCATTCTAGTCAAATTACACTGTTTGTTATAACTTATGAACTGTACAGTAATACTACCTCCGTTCCTAATTATAAGACTCAGTTGACTTATTTGAGGAGATTAAGGAAGTACGTTAAGTTAGTTATTTGTAATAAATAAGTATTGTCATTCCTAAAATATTCTTGCTAATTAAGTGTATTGGCTAGAACTATCATTATTAGAAGAACTATCTTGGAAAAAAAATACATAAATATGAGAGACAAAATGGATTGGGGTCTTATAATTAGGACCAAACAAAAAGTCAAACGGGATCTTATATTAAGGACCGGAGGTAGTATCAACTTTTTTATATTTATGATTAATAATTTATGAAAGTCATCATTGTATTCCCTATATTTTCACTAACCACGTGCATGTTTGGTTTTAGAGTAAAATATACAGATGCTCCTATATTTTATCTTCACCATGGATTTTTATTTTTATTTTTAAAACCTATTATGTTTTTCAGATTCCACTCTCCTCCACCCTAACCTTTAATTAATTGCTAAGTTACATATTTTAAACTACAATATCCCAATTTAAACATAGATACTATTATTTAAGATTCATTTATTAAAAAAATATTTTAATTTCTGTGTTTTAAATTTTTTAATGATAACTTAAATTTCCAATTCATTTAAGCTTATTTATTTTGTAATCTTTATTTTTTAATGTTTAAATATATAATTCAGCTAAACTAATATTTCAAAAAAATAGGATTTAATGTAATAAGACATAAATTAATCAATATAATTAATGCTTTTTTTTAAATCTTATTAATTTTTATACAATAATTTTTGAAAAACATATTTATTTAAATATCGCCCTACTTAATTATTCAAATTTCTTTAAATTTTGGGGGAGAGAACAGAATTCGATTAGGAGGGTAAACTGATAATTTTTAAATTTTCAACATAATGACAAATAATAAATTAAGTATTTTAGAATTTCTAACGAAATATTCTTAGTGTTAAACATTGGCTAAAGTGCATTTTACTCTTGATTTTATATTGATTTTGGAGCAAAATAATACAAGAGTGACATGTGAGTTATAAAAAAAAATCACTTGCAAGGGGAAAAAAACAACGAAGTTTTTTTTTTTTTTTACCAGAGAACACCTAAGTTAATCTTCTGAATCCACAAGATTTATGGGTCGGGTCAGTTCGTCAAGGGCCATGGGATGCCCGATTATTCCGGATCCATTATGAGACATACTATCTACAAGTGCAAAACATGCCAAACCCTCCGCCTGATTTTTTTCAGGTACATGTAATTTTTTTTAGATATATTGGAGAATATCTTCGAGTCAGAATTTGAATTTTGATTTATTACGTTATGAAAACTAATTTCTTTGACCCAACCTGCTAGTGACCCTCCGTCTGGTTGTATGTCAGACTTTCCTGCAGAATTTGCGAATCCTTTTCTCGTTATGTTGGCAGATTTTTCTATTGTGTTTTTTGGACCTAACCCAATTCACATATTAAAAGGATTCTTAAAAAATTTCAATTCCCTAAAATACCATTGACACCGACTACCTAATTAATTAGTTAATTTTATGTATATATGCAGTCGCAATAATAACCAAGTAAATCTAACTCTCTGGTAAAAAAAAGAAGAAAAAAAGACAATAAAATACCCTCAAAATTACTAAATGACAACTTATGGTAGGTAAATTTTAAAATCCCAATTTAGACCCCAGGTACCATTTTGGAATTTTTAAATCTTGTAAAATGACAACATTGTCCTTACTGTTAGTGACTACTTCCATATAGCTATTGACTACACAAGCGTAGTAAATCGCATTACTAGAGTAATCAATAGTTTAGCAAGAGTAGTCATCAGAATTTCAAAATAAATGTAGTCAATAGCTAAAAAAGAGTAGTCAATACATAAGAAAAAGTAGTCACTAGAACTCCCCTGACCAGTCACCGGAGTTCTGGTAATGTGTCATTAGAGTTTAAAAATACATGTAGTCAATAGCTAAAAAAGAATAGTCAATATATAAAAAAGAGTAGTCATCGGAACTCCAGCAACCGGTCACCGGAGCTCCGGTGGTTGGTCGCCGGCAGGGTCACCGGCGTCGGAGCTCCAGCGGCCGAAATTACTGATGTGGCAGTATTTAAAAAAAAAATAAAGGGCATTTGTGTAATTTTATAAAATTTGAAAATTTCAAAATGGTATTTGGGGTCTGAATTGCAATTTTAAAATTTACCTACCATCTTTTGTCATTTAGCAATTCTGAGGGTATTTTAGTGTCTTTTTCCCAAAAAAAAACGTAAATCTAACAAAACTGGGGGAAAAAAAATCTTAGGCTCATCGGAATATTTGATACATATAATCCTCATAAAATAATATAAGAAGATTCCAACGCTCTAGACTAGAATAATAAAACTGAACTTCATAGGAAAAACACAAAGCACAATGGCACGATGAGCAAAACAGGTGTTGAGATGTGTTGTTACTCAGCCTCATTCAAACTTGAAGCCAGAATAATTTTATTTTCTACCACAATGGAGCTCACTGGCAGGTTTGCCCTAATAGAAGACAGGTTATATTACTCGCGGGGGGTACTCTGTTTTACTGGTGGTAAAATGCATCCCCACAACACAGACTCGCTCACCAAGATATCCAAATCTAAAGGCATATCCTTGCCCTCTCACCGAATATACATATACACATGCATGCGTGTGTATCCTTAGTATAGAATGTTTGGAAGTTAGGCATCAAATAAAACACAAGTGTCCGAAATGGGGATAATATATTTAATTAAAAAGGGGGGGAAAAAAAAACAAGAAAAGTTCAAGAAACCAAGATAGACTAGAAATGGCGTGGCAGTGAAAGATTATAATTCTAGTAGAGGCAAATGAGTTTTCATAAAGTTATTCGGTTAAGTGCCTAATGTTATGTTTAGTACGAAACATTAGAAAAAAAAGTAGAAATTATGATTGAGATTGAAAGAAGTATGTTAAAAGAGTTTTTAGTATAAATAATTGCTTATTACTTGAGATTGGACAAATTCATACACGTGGGATTGAGGAATACCATAAGAGGAAGTAGTATTCTTCAATTCCACCTATATGGGATTTCTTAATCCCATATAACAAGAAATTACTTATACTAAATACTCTTTAATGATATTTTTAATCCTAATCATAATTCTTATCTCTCATTTTCAATGTTTCATGACAAACAGGACCTAAGTGGTTTATTTGTCTTTAGGCAGTAAATAAAGAAGCAGAGCACAGACAACA